TTTTTCTGGTACTCTCTTGCTTTCTCCATAATCCAGCGAATGTTGGCAGTTTGATCTCTAGTTCCTCTACCTCTTCGAAACCCAGCTTGTACTTCTGGCAGTTCTCTATCCACATACTGTTGAAGCCTAGCTTGTAGGATCTTGACTCTGCTATAAAGGTACGCCAAGGGATCTCACAGAAATAATCTTATATTTACACTGATGTATATGTATGTTGTGGTTCTAACTTACCTTTTAAACTATATTAACTTGTATCAATTTTTTCCATGCCAATAAAGGCTACTTAACTTAATATTACATTGGCAGTTGCCAAGTTCTTTTCTCAGTTGTTAAGATTAAAAACCATCTGCAGGAGAGGGACAAAAGCTGTGCGGCGTGACTTTGATAAGCTGGTTCTGAAAAGCAGGCAGTTTCTGAGAAGCAGCTGACCTGCACGCAGCCAAGGCTCCGGGTGAGAACTTGGTGAGATCAGATTTGGGGAGGGGGGGTGAGCGGCGGGTGTGCTGACTGGCTGAAGAAGGTGGGTGCACGACCACTGTCAACCCAGCTGGAGAAGGTGGTGCAGGATCGGCCAGTAGCTGGCTAATTCAGCTGCTGATGATTCCGGACAGAGAGCGATTCAGAAGGTGGGTGCACTGGCGGGCTGGAGAAGGTGGACGCAGGACCGGCCAGCTGGAGAAGGTGGCACAGGCAGGACTGCGCATGGCTAAATTTATACTTTAAAAAATTGTTATAACTTTGGAGAGTTTTGTGAGGTGTGGCTATTAAGGGGTCATGGCCCTGAGATGCCTCACCATGGCCACGGGCCCGATGACAGTGGTCTCCTGCACACCAAGCAGATGGGCTTTCAGCATCAGAGATCTCGAGCCTGTTTGCAAAGTGACCCCTAACTAGTTGAATGGGAAATAAGGTCCCCAACCACCACCTCGCTCGACTAAGATCAAGAAATGGCTTCAGTGGAAATGAAGAACATAAAAGAAGCCAATGCTGGATCAGGCCAATGGCCCATCCAGTCCAACACTGTCACACAGTGGCCAAAAATACCAGGGGCCATCAGGAGGTACAGCAGTGGGGCCAGGACACTTGAAGCCATCCCACTGTAAGCACCAAGAAGACAGAGCATCACTTGCCCCAGACCGAGAGTTCCAATCTGTACCTTGTGGCTAATAGCCACTGATGGACCTCTACTCCATGTTTATCTAATCCCCCCTTGAAGCCGTCTGTGCTTGTAGCCGCCTTCACCTCCTGTGGCAGTGAATTCCATGTGTTAATCACTTTTTGGGTGAAGTACTTCCTTTTATCTGTGCTAACCCAACTGCTCAGCAATTTCATGGAGTGCCCACGAGTTCTTGTATTGTGAGAGGGAGAAAAGCACTTCTTTCTCTACCTGCTCTATCTCCTGCATAATCTTATAAACCTCGATCATGTCACCCCTCAGCCGTCGTTTCTCCAAGCTAAAGAGCCCCAAGCGCTTTAACCTTTTTTCATAGGGAGAGTGTTCCAACCCTTTTATCATTCTACTTGCCCTTTTCTGCACTTTTTCCAATTCTATAATATCCTTTTTGAGGTGTGGTGACTAGAACTGTACACAGTATTCCAAATGAGGTTGCACCATTGATTGATACAGGGACATTATGATACTGGCCGATTTTTCAATTCCCTTCCTAATAATCCCAGCATAGCAGTTGGCCTTTTTTATTGCAGTCGCACACTGTCTCGACATTCTCAGTGAGCTATCTACTACGACTCCAAGATCTCTCTCTTGGTCAGTCTCATACCAGATGCAATAAGTCTCTAGGAAATTTCTCTTGGTTTTCTAAGCTGTATTTGCTGATGGATGGACGGATGGACTCCGCCCCAGATATTCTAGCCAGGCCCTGGAGACTGTGGCTGGTTGGTTACAGCAGAGCCAGCAGAAATTAAATCCATCAAAGATGGAGGTCCTGTGCCTGAGTCACAGTGAGGTGGTATCGGGAATCCAACTCCCAACCCTTGGTGGGGTGTCACTAAGGCCAGTGCCAATGGTGAGGAGTCTAGGAGTGATCCTGGATGCCTCGCTGTCAATGGGAGGCCCAAGCCACGAATGTTGCCAGATCGGCCTTTTTCCATCTTCCAACTGGTTCCCTATCGCTCCTCCCGTGACTTGGCCACAGTGATCCATGCAGCAGTCACCTTCAGGCTAGACTACTGTAACTCGCTCTATTCAGAGCTGCCTTTGAATTTGACCCGGAAACTTCAGCTGGTCCAAAATGCAGTGCCGTGCTTCCTGACTGGGACGTCTTTGTGGGCGCATATACAGCCAGTGCTCCGCCAGCTGCATTAGCTTCCATTTAAGTATCAGATCAAGTTCAAGGTTATCTGCAGGACCGCCTCTCCCAGTATGTCCCCCAAAGAGCTCTACACTCGTCAGAACAACATCTTCTGGTCGTCCCTGGCCCAAAAGACATCTACTTAGCCTCGACCAAACCCAGAGTTTTTTCAGCTCTGGCTCTGGCCTGGTGGAACACATAAGTGAGATCAGGGCCCTGCGGGGCTTATTGCAATTCTACAGGGCCTGTAAAACGGAGCTGTTCCGCCAGGCCTTTGGTTGAGACGGCCTCCCCCCACTCTAACCCGCCTGTGTTGTGCATGATACCAACTTGTGCCGTAGACGGTGGCTTGGGTCCACTGGCTTCATATGCTAGCCCAGAGCTTTGCTGGATTACCAGTTCATTGTCATCATGTATCAGTCTGGTTTTCAGGTCTTACATTGGAATTATATAGAAATTGTTTTTATTTGATTTATTGGTTTACTGTAACCCGCCCTGAGTTCGCTTGCGGGGGCGGGCGCGATAGAAATCCCATAAATAAACATTAAAAATCTATTTGTAGCAATGAAAACTATGAGGACAGATCTCAATTTTACAAACTTACAATATGACGACCACTTCTCCAGAAGAACCAAGTTTTTAAAGAAGAAAACTGATACTTAATATTGAAATAGATGTTCAAGCAGTGGAAAAGCAGTGGAAATATGGGTTCAGTTCACGCAAAAAATGCATCTTTGGTTCTCAGATGCCTATAACTGCAAAGCTCTGCACAATGCCCAGGAAGGTCAGGAAAGGTTTGGTTATTTAAAGTGAAAATAAACCACATGGTTTATGCTGAAGTAATACTGGAAGTCACTGTCTTTGAAAAGCTGAGTATTTCTGGATGTGACTTTGTCCCTAGCGAAAAGATGAAAAATGCACAAAGGCACCAGTGTATCTCTTCAGTTACCTACTCCAACGATGCTTCCGCCCCATGCCACCACTGCCCACAAACTGCTACAGCCAAGGACATTTCTCACTTTCTCTCTACAGCATCTGTAACGTTGGATTCTATTTAAAACGAGGGGTTTTCAGCTGTTCTGTGGTTAGGTCAAGCATCGTACCAAGAGGGCTTTGGGTTTTTTGGTCTCCACAATATATGCTCTACAAAAGCGTGTACAGGCAATGCTCCAGTAGAGGTAAGCACCATGAACCAAAGTTACGTGCACTTAGCTTTAGATAGTTGGTCACGGGTCTGAAAAGCCTTCTGAAGTTGCTCTCTTAAGAGTTGCAAGCCAAAGAGCAGCAGCATCTAATCAGTGTTCACTGGTGATATTTCGCTCATGGGAGCAGAAAAGGAAACACTGTCATAAGCAGGTGATGGCAGCAAAGGCCTATTAATGATCTAACTGCCTCTCCCCAAGCTATGCGTTCGCAGGGGTCGTTTCGTAGAAAAAGAGCTAGGGGAACTCATTAGCATAACTCATTAGCATATGCCACACCCCCTGACATCACCGGAAGTGTGTCATAAGGCCACACCCCCTGACATCACCGGAAGTGTGTCATAAGGCCACACCCACCACTCAGTTAGTCTTAGTCTTAAAGGTGCTATTTGTTAGTCTTAAAGGTGCTATTTGAACTCTTGGACTATTTTGCAGCAACAGACTAACACAGCTACCTCGGGGAAGCTCCTGGATGGGGCTGGGAGTCCTTGCGGAGGCCACGTGGAGTGGCCTCGGCCAGGCAGAGGGGGAGGACGCCAACTTACCCTCCTGCTTCTTCCTCCTTCTGCAACAGAATGAGGCTGGAAGCAGGGGGCGGGGCTTCGCTATGTGCCCACTCCGCCCCTGGTGCCCAAATCCGAGCCCTGGCCAGGAAGCCCCCACAGCAACAGGGGTTGTTTCGTAGAAAAAGAGCTAGGGGAACTCATTAGCATAACTCATTAGCATATGCCACACCCCCTGACATCACCGGAAGTGTGTCATAAGGCCACACCCCCCGCCCCCAACCCTGGCCGCTGCCGCCGCCGGCCTTGCAGCTTCACTGCCGAGCCCCATTAGGGGCCTAGCGGTGGACCTGCAAGGCCGGCGGGAATGCGAGGAAGCCCCGCGAAGGCCCTCCCTGGCCCCAGGCAGGCAGGGGTGGGGAGAGGCAGGGAGGAAGCAACTTACCCTCCCTCTTCTCCTGCCTCCTCCTGGCTGAATGAGGGCCGGAAGCGGGGCGGCCGGAAGCAGGGAGCGGGGCTTTGTCGTGTGCCCCGCCCCCTGCACCTCACCTGGGGGAACTGCAATCCCCCGCGATCCCCCCCGAATCGACCTCTGTGCGTTCGTTACATTTGTACTCGTCCCCTCCCCATGCTCAAGGCAGCTAACCATGTGTTTCTCAAAACCCATCCTACTTTCACTTTCTGACTACCAAAGTGCTTAGTTCACCTAAATGCCTCTTGCTTCTCTCTCTCTCTCTCACACACACACAGACCTCTGTTATTTGCTCACTCCAGAAGATCCTCTGATCTGACTACCAGAGGCCCAGATAAAATATCCAGTTTGAAATCACAGCATGGCTTCCCCCTCATTCCACAGCTATTCCAAAGCAATGCTGCCTTTGCATTGGATGTGCTACAAATTACAGTTAATCTGGATCAAAAGGGAACAAAACCCCTCCCCAAAACTAAGGAAAGGTCATGCTATTTTAACACAACACCACCGCGATAAACTGCCTCAGGGCTAAAATGCAGAGGAACACTGCAATAAAAGAAATGCATTTCTCTTAATCTTGACTGCTTCCACATTTAATGTTTTGCTTGTACAATGCAGATAACTCCACAGTTCTTGGCTTCCTGCGGAGGTTAATGCAAGCCAGTCTTCTCCTAAGAGAGCTTCACTTTCCAACAAGTTGGAGATCCTTTTCAGGAAGAGACTAGATAAACTAGAGATCCAGTTTCCTATACAGCTCCTCACTTCAATTCACTGACTTCCACCGGTTACTTTTGAATTAAGGCTTCAACCAAGTGTGTAGTACCACATTTTTAATGGATAGATGCCACTTTCTATTCACATGGTCCTGCGTCAGTTGTCTTCATGGGCAAAATAGTATCTGATTGGGGGCCCTGGCAAGTCTTCGTCACCGTCTGTTTCTGGAGCAAAGGACACCGTGAGGTCCACATACTTCTTATCCACTGATGGTTTCACAAGTTTCTGCATCCTGCAAGACAGGAATCGAGAACTGTGAAGCAAAAAAGCATGGGGGGGGGGGAAGGGCCAACCTTCCCCGAATCCCTAGGTGTGTATTTTGTAACTTGCAAGAGGTCCATTATAAACATACAGCTCGCCTTGATCAGGTAAGGCTTCCAACCACGAGAGACCATGTGAAGTAACTAAAATTTGACAGGTAATGAAAGAAGTCAGCGGAGAAATCAGTTTCAAATAAACAATTTCAGGACTTTATGAAAACATCCCACCTCCGTTTCAGAGGAAAGCCGTGTCGGACTGCAGCAGAACAACTAATTTGGAGTCCAGTAGCCCCTTAGAGAACAACAAAACTTTTGGGTTATAAGCATTTGAGAGTCAAAGCAGTGACTCTCGAAAATTTATAATCCAAAAATCTTGTTGGTCTGGTCTCTGAGGGGCTAGTGGATTCAAATCTAATTATTACACCTCAGTGTTTCCTTATTTCATGACTATGTGGAGACAATTCAATTCAGCGTATTTTCAAAAAGGCCAAAATCACACTGAACACACAGGAGGCTGGATCCCGTGGAGCTTTTCTGTTATCAGTGGGATTTCCCTCTGGTGCCAGCTGCCTTCTGGAGGGAAGCCCCACCATTCACATTCCCCTCCCCCTTCCTTGGGGACTCCATTTTGCGCATGCCTCACACCCAACTGGTCATTTCTATGGAAGACAGGCAAGGGCGGGAGGCAGAAGCAAAAAACACCAGAGATGCCAAAATGCCACAAAACAGCACGGCCAAGCTTCCAAATACACAAACGCACACACCACCGCCATTACGGGGACAACAGCATCTGATGATCCTTTTAGGTGGTCTAAGCCATTTGATATTCTCATGAGGCCACTTCCACACAGGGCCAAGAGAGAAGGGCTAAGTGGGCAGGATTCCAGGGTCTGCCCCTCCCGCCCCCCCGGTCACACAGCAGGGCAACTTCTGTGATTTGGATTCCGAGGGAGTTTGTCTTGGGTGTGGGGACACAACAGGACTGCTTGTCTAGGGGCCAGTGGGGGATCAAGGCAGCAGCCCTTCTTCCAGATTCCCAACCCTGCAACAGTGGGTGTTATAATTTCAGACTTACCTGGCGTTGTAATAAAGAGCCCCAGTGTTCTTATACCTTTTACTTAAAAAAAAATGCATTCTCTTTCCAATGATTTAGCCAACGCCTATGGATTTCAGTTTTACTTAGAAGCTGAAATTCACAAATTTGAAATGTGGGTTCAGGACGGCCCCTGGCCACAACAGAAGGCCTCTGCTGTCAGCAGCACATCCTGCGTCCTGTTGCTCTGTCGGCTGCATCTGATTTGCCTCACTCATCCACGGTTGGATTACTGCAACGTGCTCTACCTGGGGCAGTCCTTGAAGACAACCTGGAAACTACAACTGGTCCAGAATGCAGGAGCCCGACTGCCAGTCTGTTTCCAAGTTCATTTCAAGGTGCTGGTTATGACCTTTAGAGCCCTTCTCAACCTGGGATCCACATATCTGAGGTATTGTCTCCTTCCACATGTCCCTGTGCAGTGCACCAGCTATGGTCACCAGAGGCAGCCCACTACTGGGGTGGCCTGTCCGTCTGACATTGTCCAGAGCCCCCCGGGCCCTTTCCGGTTGTCGTTCCAGCTCTGGGAAGGGGCTCCCTGCCCTTCCTTGGTGATCTTCAGGAGGCACCACAAGGCCTGCCTGTTGCTGGGGCTTTTGAGGGGGTTTGAATGGCAGGCATCTTTGAAGGGGGGAGAGATGTGGGGTTTGTTATTTTATTTTTGGTTTTAAACTGAAAGTGTATTTATTATTGTAAGCCACCTTGAACTATGAGGAAAGGCAAGATATAAATGTTTTAATAAATAAATAATAAACTCATGAGCAAAGATGCTGTATGCCACTCTCTGCTTAAACAGAGAGCTGCCTTTATGCTCCAGGAGGACAACAGGGCCTTTTGCCAAACCTTCAGGCCCGCGGGGGTTCTGTGGGGTTTATACTCACGTCAGCTTCAATCTTTTCACATGCCCAGGCATGACAGGGACATACAGCATTTTAACTCCTTGAACCACCATGGTGGGCTCAATCCCGTATTTCTCCTGAAACACACAAATGCAACAATAATATTTTGTCCTGCTCTACCAGAAAGGCACATGACAAAGCCGATTACGGGCTGAACAGGACAACAAAAACCAAATATTTTATCCAAACAAATGTATTTATACCGTTTTGTACAGCAAAGCAGAAAATGTGCTTTTAAAAAATTTACATTTCCCATTTGCGTGTGTTCTTTTAACACTTTAGTTGTCATGAATCTGAACAACAGGACTGCATGGAACCTGAAACGTGGTAAACAGTCATGCAAACACTATACCACAGTACAATCAGAGAAGTCAAGAAAATCCTATTTTCCAAAACACTTTCTATGGCATATTTAAAACAGATGCCTTACTTTGACGGCATTTATGAAGTCCGAGAGTGTGAAATCGTCTTTCCCATAAATTGTCCATCTATCCCAGATTGTAAATGATATCCCATTTCTGTCACAGAACACAGATGAAAGCATGAGATTTATTGATGTAACACAGTTTCCAATAGTTTGCGACTAGCAGTCATCAAAGTTAGAACTGCAGATGACGCTTCCCTGTTTAACCCTGCATTCCTGGGGGGCAGCGGCTTCCGGATGGCTGCCAAAGGACAGCACCTCAGTTAACCAGCTAATCAGGGACATGCAATACCGCTTTGGAGCTCACAGGATTACGGTGAGGGTTCTCCTTAATCTGCTACAAGATGGCTGGATCAGGACAGGTTACAAGATGAGGGGACAACAGAAGAAATTAATATTGTATTTTAAAGCGTTCGGGGTTATTGTATATCTAATTCTAAAACAAATGGAAGAGCGTGGATCAAAAAATCCAGAGTGGGGCCAGAGACAGAGTGGGAGGAGGTGACAAGCCTGGGGAAAGTTCCATGTCTGCAGAAAAATATGAAATGTAAAATCATACATTGGGTTTAGAAAAAACTCAGATATCACTGAAGCAATGTCTGCTTCTTTAAGAAAAAGTATGCTACTGAGATCTCACAAGATTACAACCCATAACACACATTGTTTTGGGGGGGGGGGGGGGGGGGGTAGAGAGAGACAGAATAAAGAAAGATAATATATATAACTGACAAGATGGTAAAGCTGGAAGGTGCGGGGACAAAAAAAATCTACGAACGGAAAGCTGAAAGTGGGGGAGAGAAACAGAAAAAGGGGGGCAAGTGAAGGACGGCAGAAGCTGCCAGAAGAATAAATGCAAAAAGGTACGTTGGTTTCTGGGAGAGAAGGAAAGGGGAGAAGCAGGAGGCACTGCCAGTGGATGGTGAGAAGGAGACTTTGGATTTTAGGAGTAATTAGGAGCACATCCCATTCTTTCATTTTGTTTGCCCTATTTACCTTATAGCTGTTTTTCTCACTTCAGCTGTTTCTGCAAAGACAATTACTGGAATGGCCAAGTTGAAAAAACAGTTCTTATATGCTTGGAAAGGGTAACCACCCACAACTTTGATCAATTCCAAAGCAACCTATGAAGAAAAATGTGATTATTCACTGCGAGAAAGAACACTGATATACCCTGTAAGTTAACAGAGAGCAAAATGAACCGCAGCATTACCTGATCTGTACAACAGGCACCACAGATCACAAACTACTTTGGGGAAGGAACAGGAAACAATTTGTATCTCAGCCTAACAAATGTATTTTTCTCCTTCAAGTCATACACAATTATGAGGTAATGAAGTGATCCTCAGACAGTTAAAACTATCTGCAGTTTCCATGCTGTGACTACAGAAAGTGACTGAGCTGCCAGGCAGGGGGCAGACCCGGAGGCCCGTTGACCCCTGACGAAGACCCCCGTGACAGACTCACGGGGCCACCAGGCTTCCTGGGCTAGAGCTCTCACCCTCACAGGCATGAGGGCAACCTCGCCTACACAAGGGCAAAAGCGAAATGGAAGGGAGGTCTCTGGCCTGTGACGTTTCTATGCAGCAGTTATTCAGGGAGCTATATTGGAGCAGTCCAGGTGCATGGCCCTCACAACTCGTTCAATGTTCAGCAACTGAGATGTTTTAAAACTTCTCTCCCCATAATACATCTTAACACGACCTGGCGGGGGGGAGGGCCTTCTGCCACCTCTGCCCTGGGTTTGCTTGCTTCCCCCCAATAGTCACACCTGCCTTGTGGCGACCCCTGGTGGGATTTCCTCAGTTTGCCATGGCCTGCCGCTGCGTGGTGACCCTCGTCTTCCCTGGGGGTCTCCCACCCAAATGCCAACGCCGGCTGATCCTGCCCCGCTTCCAAGATCAGGCTAGCCTGGGCTACGCAGGTCAGGGCACCTCGCTCTGCTTCCAACAAGACTGACAATGGGGCCGCCTCCTTGTCTCCTGGCGAGTCAGGCTTTTGAAGGACAGGAACGTTTCTGGCCTGATCACAGGGATTAGGGCTGGCCAAGACGCACCTGTTCTTGCACAAATGCAAAAACAAAAGAGTACCTTGACTGACTCACCAAGCCAGCAACAGCAGCTGTCGAGGTTGCGATGGCAGGGATGATCTTCCCAGCAATCCGCTTGGTTTTCAGCCGGTCTGCTGGTTCAATGTTATACATTCTGGCTCGCAGATTAGACGCAGCTGTTATATAATCTATGTGCCCATTACTGTCATCGTCCTTTTCAAAGGCAAGTTCCTTCATTTGCAAGTCATCTGCTCAGACACAAAACCACTACTCAGAATTCTTGGTTATTTAGCTGTATTTACTACAGATGTTTCATTTAGCCAGCTGGAAAGATGTAAGATGCTTACTGCCCAAGTCCTCTTGCACTGGGGAATCTTTACGATGTATTGGGACAAGGGACTTCAGGCAGGGTAGTGCCAGTGATGCACTTAGCATCATGCTGGTGCGAGGACTGGTTCAGGAAGCTGTACTGGCAAAGGGATAGGGACTGGGGGCTGTACCACTGCGATCTGTCTCTTTCATAAGTATGCGCCTACCCTGCGGAAGTTGCACAGTGTCGTGTTTAAATGCTTATGCTTCGTTATCAGGTTTGTTTCAGCTCTGGTTCCAGATAGAATCATAGAATGTTAGAGTTGGAAGGGACCTTGCAGGTCATCTAGTCCAACCCCCTGCACTCTGCAGGAGCAGAGCCGAAAGAGAGCCCTACAACATACCCGAAAGATGGTCATCCAGCCTCCACTTGAAAACGTCCAGCGAAGGAGCCTCCACCACCTCCAGAGGCAGACTGTTCCACTGCTCAACCACTCTTACAAGTTAGGAAGTTTCTCCTGATATTTAGCCGGTATCGACTCCCTTGCAATTTCTACCCATGACATCTAGTCTTGCAATCCGGAGCAAGAGAGAATATACCTGCTCCATCTTCTACATGACAGCCCTTCAGATACTTGGAAGACTGCAATCGTGTCCCCTCTAATAAGCCTTCTCTTTCCCAGGCTAAACAGACCCAACTCTTTCAGCCTTTCCTCATAAGACTTGGATTCCAACCCTCTCTATAGTTTCTATAATCCAAACCCTACTGCACTGTCTACTGGATGCCTCATCCTTCCTCTCCACTGATGAGGAGAAACCCTCATGATAATTCCCCCCCACTGACAGAGAACAACATGTGGAGGATTTAGTATGGAGTTCCAGAAGGAGCAAGAAGACAGCTGGAATTTTCAAAAACACGACACGTGACCGAAGAGAAATCATGGGCCTCTGAAGCGCAAGGCAGCCATTCCCCTGCTGCTGTTTGCTTCCTCCCCCCGGCAGGCGGCAGAGAGGGCTGTCGTGGGCCGTGCTGCTCTTCTCTTCACCCTCCTCCTGCTCTCCCTTCGAATCTAACGAAGGGCCTCGACATCTACTCACTTCTGGTCGCTTCGTTGGCGAAGATGGCATTCTCCAGCTGAAGGACAGCATTCCTCTCGTCCTCACTGCTGACTGGGATGGGATCCGGCTTCCTCAGTGTTTCATCTGTTTGCACCACCTGCAACCATTAGCAGGAAACGGAGGAAATGCTGCTGCTGCTGCTGCAGGAGCCCTCCTCTCTCTCTCTCTCTCTCTCTCTCTCTGCTTTCCTCGCACACTTCATCTAAGGGGGCAGCCCTGCACACTGCATAACCATCGAGACCAGCTTACTAGGCACAACTCAAGAGACTAAGCAAAGAGCAGGGCCCTTCCTAGATTTGCATGGGTATTCAACGCACTGGAGTCTGTGGTTCCAATTACCTGTAGTATTGGGTACCACGTTTAAAGCATACACCTATGCTGACTTTGAGAAACAGGCTTTCGGAGAACACTCTGCTGCAGGAAAAGCTAAACACTCCACTTCTATTGAACAACAGGACCTATACTTCACGAATAAGAACATATAGAGAGTGCCACTACTGGCTCAGAGGGATAATCCACCCAATCCACCGCCCCCGCCTAGTGGCCACCAGACCTGGAAGTCCTACCAGTGGGAGCACAGAAGCCAAAGCCTGGGTTCTCTTCACTCGTCATCGCTAACAGCTGCAAATGGGCCTCTCCTTCAAGCTACTGAGAGCAGCAGCCATCAGCTTTGTTGTTGCCGGTAGCCACAGCAGGCCCTGGGACAGGGCTGGCAAGCATTCGAAGCACGTCACTTGCATTCGTTTGCCAGGATCCAGCTTGCAACTGCCCAGCTGAGGTAGTGGCTCACCTAAGGTCCTCTAGGGCAGAAGTTAAATTCATGGGATTCCTCAATTCATAGCCATTATGATGTAATTTATGCTGGGCAACTAAGAGCCGGGCTACAGAATCTCTGCCAAAACTGTACGTGCACAGGGCAAAGTCTTCATTGATCGTGAAAGGAAAGGAAGCGAGAACAGGCACTTCCACACTGGCCAGACTTACTTTGTTAGAAGGTCGGAATTCTTGAACCTTCACCCCAGAAATTATTTTTAAAATGGTTTCTTCTGACACGTCCTGTGTTTTAGTTACAAACAACGGCACAAGTTAGACCAAAGTAGCAGAACGAAGTGAGCAAAAATCTCTTTCTCAGAAGTAAGCTCAGCAAAAGGATATTAATAAGTAAAATGGGATGAATTCAAATATAATTTTTTCTAAAAAGTTAATATCCCACAGTCCTCAATCAAGACAGGCTCCACGCAATTTACCAGTCACAAAACACTGTGTATGATTCTTTTTTTAAAATGTACATAAAAATAGACCAATAATACCACCTTAATATCAGAAAAAGTATACATTCAGCAAAATGTCTAGGTAAATAAATAAATGCATGTTATTTCAGGGTCCAAAGCAAGCTCAATGCCAGGTTGATCGATGAAGAGTGGCTATTTCATAATTCAGGTGCCTTTCCCCTGGTGAAGATGCAGTTGATCAAGATGCAGTTGATCAGTTCTACAACCAGGCTTCAAGCTGGACAGGATATCCATCTCCTCCCAGAAAGTCTGGCGTTGGCTGGCCATCATCCCTTGAGCCCCTGCCCCCAAAGCAGATGTCTGCCATAGATCTGAGCTTTTTAGATCCTGGAACTGCTTCTTTCAAAGGACTTTTTCAACAGCCTCCTTCAATATATCTGGCCCTTCCCCATTCATCCACATACTGCTCCCTGGATCCACCCCAACAATTCCCTCTGGCCTAGATTTAATAAGCCAGGATAAGCAAGGGTCACGTAGGAATGAAGGAGATCAAAGACTTCCTTCCAAGCAGTTCATTGTCAGCAAGCTGCCAATGTGTTTCTCTGTACTCTGTGTATGCTCTGATGTTTCACTATGCTCTGTATGTATTCTTATGTACCCTTGTCTTTGGGTATGCGCTTGTTTGCTTTCACTTTCCCATGTATGCCTGTTTATACGCTTAATTGCCTAGTGGCAGGAACGTCCGTATCTCTCAAGGCCGCAGGTGGTTGCTGGAGTATAGTAGTTTGGGTGATCTCATGGCGTTATCAATGAGAAGCAGCATGTTATGAGTAAGTAGGAGCGTTGCTTCCCAGGCTCAATGGCCCGCGCGGGAAGTCCTGCAATTGGGCCTCAGCTTTTTGAATTTCCTATAATCTATTGGGATCCATGCTTGTTCCTCATTCTGAACAGTGATCCTGTTATGCACCTATTGCTTCAAATAAAGAAACCTCTCTTCTGCAAGTGTGTTCTTCGTTGATGCGATGGGAGTCTGACATTCATCTATGTCAGGGGTGTCAAACCTATGGCCCATGGCTTTAATCTTTTCTCCTCCCCTCCCCTCCCCTGCCTGTCCTCACCCTTTGAAGTTGAGCTGCCAAAGTTCCCCCCTCCCTTGGCCTTGTCTTTGCCTGCTTCAGGAGGAAGCTCTCCTGGGCTTGCAAAGAAAATGCAGAATGGAGAAGCTTGCAATGCCCAGCCATTTCATGTTTACCTAGGCTCAGAGCATTTTATATTTTTAATATATTTTTAGTTTCTTGTGCTTTTTTCTTGATGCTTTGTTTTTTAAAATTGCATTGCCAAATCCCACTATTCCCCCACCTTTCCATTTCAGGCAGACCTCTTTGAAGGGGGGGAGGTTTGGGAAATGTCTAGGGTTGCCAGGTCTTACCGTTGTTGTGGCGGGGGAGTCCCGGGCCCTCTCTGGGACATCTTCAGGCGGTGGCACTGTCATTCGAGGTAAAAACATAGTTTTCCCTCGAGTGATAGAGCATCCCCCTACAACATGCCTGGCGCGATGACGTCACCTCTAAGTAACGTCATCACACCGAGCATGTTGCTGCGATCCCAGCACTTTGGGGGTGGGGTTCCCCCGGCAGCCAGATCCGGGCTGGCAGGTAAGGGGGCCGTCGAGCGGGTAAACCCCTGCCTCCCCCCCAGGGGACCTGGCAACCGTAGAGGTGTCAGTTATCAAAGACTGTTAAATCACAAGAGTTTTAAGCATGTTTGTATTTCAAGTAAAAAAATAATATCTTTGTGTTTGTCTGTATCCTTTATAGATTTTATATCTCTGCTAACTGGCATTACATTTTATGGCATGCATGGCCTGGCCTGACAAAGTCTCACTCATATCAGATCCGGCCCTTGTAACAAATGAGTTCGACACCCCCTGATTTATACCATTAGGCTTCCTATAACCAGCATTCTTCCCAACAATATTCCAATGAGATTTACAGTTCCTCCTATGACACACTCCCTCTTCTTTTGCACAGTGTTCTCAATACTTCCAGGAAGACAGAAGGGACCCTACATCATTAGAACGTAGGACACGGGCATTTGCAAGAAACCTTTCTACACCATGTCATTCATGTTGTATAGATAATAAATTTAATTCAATTTTTAAAGAATATATATAAACAATAGTTTCAGAGGGTAGCCATATTATTCTGCAGTAGATTTCGGTCCAGGAGAACCTTAGAGACCAAAAAGATTTTCATTATCAGCTTTCAAGAGTCAAAGCTCCCTTTGCCAGATACAGAAACAATATTATCATTACTATTAATCTATCATGCCTGATCTGTGTCCTCAGTGGCTCTCACATGGTAAAGACTGGCCACCTCATCAAGTGACACCTCGTGCCTACCTGGACTAAGCATCACTTTGATTCACGCAAAGGGAAAGCCATCCCCAAACAGAAAACTAAAATGGCAGTTATTTTAAGTTACTTATTGCCTACTTTTGCAAGTGCTTTATCAACATTAGTGAAGGGACAGATACAAGTTCAGATAATTTAGGCACCAAATAAGATTAACTCATCTGCAGAAAGAATGGCATGACAGAAATTCTTTAGCAAAGGGTACCACTGGGAAGAAGACAGGTATTTGACGCAGGACTCGACAAAGGGTCAATATCTGACCCAGGACTCATCTGAGGAGCCATCTCTGGATCCAGTGCTGAGTCTTGAGAAGACAGACGGCCAATCTGCTCTGAGTAGCAGAGGAAATGCTTCACCCATCTTGCTAAAGCCTGGATTCTTCTGAATTGTCATTTTCCTTCAACACTCATAAATATGTCTGAGCCCTTTCAGAACATTAACGGAAAGAAAATGAAAATGCCTGTCGTCAGACTGGAGACTTACCTTTTCTGTAAACGGAATACAGTAAATTGTTGCAAACAACTTAGCTGTACTCACTATGAAGCTATAGTGCCTAGAAGAAAAACAAAATAAATTAGATCTTTTGTACTCCATTGCAAACATTCATGCACAGTGCAAACTAAGACGATGCTCCCATTGTCTATGAATTGTACTAGCACTTTATGATATATTTTATTATTATACTGTTCTGGTTTTATTTCTTCCACCATAGGTGCTGACGGCCTATTCCCTCCATTGTTCTCTATGGTGGGAAAAAAGTAACTTTTTCCCACCATAGAGAATAATGGAGGGGATGGGGCAACCTGTTTGGGAGCCCGTAGAATTGGACCCCCTGGTTCAATGTTCCTGAAACATGGCGGGTATCTTGGGGAGAGGTTCCAGCAGCTACCCTGCAATTCTGGAGCCTCTCCCTCAAACCCCCTCCCCCTCCAGCCCCCAGAATATACCCTATGTTTTCGCCATTGACTTCAATGGCCTATAGGATATAATGGGGCCAAACTGCGGGAAGCCCCAGCAGCCCTCAGGCTGGAGCACCTGGAGCAGTCTTGGGAGGCGGATTGGCAAAAAGCAAAACCAAAAGCACAGGAGCTTGAGAGAACTCCAGGAATGGAGCCGGTTCCTCTTCCACAGCCCAAAATGCGACCCACGAAACCTGAGCTTGCTTTTTCTCATTTGCAAGTCTGGTCTCCGCACTCTTTAACGAGGCAGCCCTGAAGCTTGGGGCGGCGGGAGTTTCTTTGCACGCAGCTTGTGCGGCTGGCTGAGTGCCTCTTCTGCTTGCCCACCTCTCGCCTCTGCACCTCATCTTCTGCCAGGCATGGAGGAGCCCAGCTCACCCAGGCTTCTTGCCTCCTGCTGCCTTGGCCCTCTGGTGCACGGGTGAGTCCCCAAAGTTTGACTCTTCCTCTACAAGTCTCTGGCGCTGGAGGTATTCGCCTCCTTCCCTCCTGCCTGCTATGGCTGCATAATTG